GTTAGGGGCTAATGCAGCTGGTATAAGTTGAAGCCAATGCTCATTGACCGTTTTGGAAATCCTAGGACCTTTAAGATTATACTAAATCTATTTTGCACATGTGACAGCAAAACTCAGATGACAGTCCATCTGTTTACAGCATGGTTTAATGAATATTTTAAGCCCACCTTTGAGACTTACTATTCAAAAAAAAAAAAAAAAAAGATTCTTTACAAAATACTACTTCTCATTGAAAATGCACCTGGTCACTCAAGAACTGTGATGAAGATGTACAAGGAGAAAATTTTATTTTCATGCCTGCTGACAGAACATCAATTCTGCATCCCATGGGATCAATGAGTAATTTCAACTTTCAATTCTTATTTTTTTAAAAATACGTTTTGTAAGGCTATAGCTGCCATAGACAGTGATTCCTCTGATGGATCTGGGCAAAGTAAACTGAAAACCTTCTGGAAAGAGACTTTCATGATTCATAGGAAGAGATCAAAATATAAACATTAACAGAAGTTTGAAAGAAGTTGATGCCAACCCTCATGGATGACTTTGAGAGGTTCAAGACTTCCGTGGAGGAAGTCACATCAGATGTGATAGAAATAGAAAAATAACCATAATTAGAAGTGCATCCTGAAAATGTGATTCAATTGCTGCAATTTTATGATAAAACTTGAGTGGGTAAAGAGATGCTTCTTATTGATAAGCAAAGAAAGTAGTTTCTTGGGATGGAATCTACTCCTGGTGATGATGCTGTGAACACTGTTGAAATAACAAGGAAGGATTTAAAATATTTCATAAACATATTTGATAAAGATGTTTGAGAGGGTTGACTCCAATTTTGAATAGAAGTTCCACTGTGGGTAAAATGCCATCAAACAGTATCACATGCTACTGAGAAATCTTTTTGAAATGAAAAGTACATTGATGTGGCAAACTTCATTGTTGTCTTATTTTCAGAAATTGCTACAACCATCTAGCCTTCAGGAAACACAACTCTCGTCAGCAGCCATCAACATCAAGGCAAGACCCTCCACCGGCAGAAAGCTTATGACTGGATGAATGTTAAGATGATCTTCATTTTTTAGCGATAAACTATTTTTTCATTGTCATTTTAGACATAATGCTATTATATGGTTAATACACTATAGTATAGGGTAAACATACTTTTATATGTACTGGGAAACCAAAAAGTTTGTATGACTTGCTTTATTGTGATATTCACCTTATTGAGATTGTCTGAAACCAAGATTGTCTGATACCTGGAGTATTTCCAAGGTATGCCTGTATTATAGCCCCTGAATGAATTTATGTATGCAATTTTGGGAAGAGGAACTGACTCCTATAAAGTATTATTTATTACTCCTATTCTTCAGCTTCTTCAAAAGACTGATTTGGAGGTAAACAAAGTTGAGCCCTGAGTATAAATGGGTAAATTTTTAATGAATTAAAAGGGTATGGAATCAATGATTATTAAGTATTGTTCTACATTTATTTTTAGAGACCTCTATGAAAATAAAAGATAAAAAGTCAGCTGGGTGCAGTGACTCATGCCTGTAATTCCAGCACTTTGGGAGGCCGAGGTGAGCGAATCAAGAGGTCAGGAGTTTGAGACCAGCCTGATCAACATGGTGAAATTCCGTCTCTACTAAAAATACAAACATTAGCCGGATGTGTTGGCATGTGCCTGTAATCCCAGCTATTCAGGAAGCTAAGGCAGGAGAATTGCTTGAACTTGGGAGGGGGAGGTTGCAGTGAGCTGAGATCGCACTGCTACACTCCAGTCTGGGCAAGAGAGACTGTCTCAAAAAAAAAAAAAGAAGTCGATGCCCGCTGACAACTTGATGTGTAATACTGGACTTGTACTATTAGCACAAGAAAATAAAGATCTTAGAGATCTTGTTAAGTGCAGCATGTACATCTGCACAGAAACTTATGGCGACAGATTGTAGGAGAGGCTCTCCTCCCTTGGTCTCTCCTGCAGTACCGGAGCATATTAACTGTAAAGAGCAGGGTCTTCTAACCCCTCTAAGACTATTGTGTCTGGTGGTACTGAGCTCTGATACAATACACTGACAATTCCTAAATTGATTCTTTACCTCAGGGTTTAATAATGACTAAATGACTTAAGCATTTACTGGGCATGATAATAGTTACATCCAAGCTCTGTAACAGGAATTACTGATGTTTATAGTACACATAGAAATAACAAATGATTGAATATTCATACTAAGTAGGAGTAGCTAAAATTATGAATCTTAAAGCCAAGTCATACTGGGTTCAAAGTTGGTTTCCATTCACTACCAAAGGTAAGCTTGGGCAATTTACATGGTATTTCTACTAACTCTATTTATGGCATAAAATAACGATACTGATAGTACCAACATCAATCACTAAGTCATGTATCTGATGAATGTTTATTGAATAGCTACTATGTGCCAGCCACTATTGGGGTTGAGCATACAGCAAACAACACAGATATGAACCCAAACTCATTTGAGCTTTCATTTCATTTGTGAGAACTAAGCATTTAGTACCAGGTATGGGGCACATTAAATTTTCAAACAATGTAAAGATCATTACCATTAGTTAATGATGATGATGATGATCACATTATGTCTCATTATGGAGTTGAGAATAACACAGTTTCTGTATGTGGGAAAATATTTCTGGTCCATGGCCCTTAAACTGTGCTTCCCTCCCACAGGAGTGATTTGAACTGAGATTTGGAACTCCTCACTGGGGTTCTTTATTGCTATGTCCACTATTTGCTGATGCACTTATTCCATGAATAATTCAAAATCATGTATTTATTAATGTATTATCAAAGCATTAAATTCCTTTCTATATATGCTGAAAATATTTCTATTCAGCTAAAGAACATTTTATGCCTGCCTGAAATGTGTGTAGAATTATCCACAAAGTCATTTACATATATATATATATCTGTGTGTGTATATATGTGTGTGTATATATATGTATATGTGTGTATATATGTGTATATATGTGTATATATGTGTGTATATACACACACACATGCAAGTGTGTACATGTATGTATCTATGCCAGTGTTAGAAAAAGAATACATGGACAAAGGAATCAGAGTGTGATTAGGAGGATCAGTCCATGTAGAATGGGAGTCAAAGTTGTTTAAGGTATCACAGAGGAGGCCACAAAGTGGAGGGGATGAGACGAGTCAGAAAAAAGTACTTCCAAAACTGATTAGCTATCAATGGGTTTGTATTTATATTTTTGCCTTAACTTCTACAAATAGCTCCTCTCACAAAAGTCATTTTGGAAACTTATCTTTCAAAGTTCGTAAAAACATCAATGATTTTAGTTATCTTCACTTAAAGAGGGTAATTTATCATCTGGTCAAGTGTGCGTGTGTCTGCCAGGAAAGCTGTGAGCCAACATACATCATACTGAGTAGCTTCAAGGATTCGGTTTGCCTTCTTGTGTGTATTTGAATACAGAATTCATTTTAATCTGACATTTTTTACCTCTCATCATATTTTTCTTCTAATTAAGTTCTATAAATGTATCTTCTATCCGGTTTGAGCAGTAATAAATTCTTTACTTAAATTGGCCTTCTGAAAGTCACAAACCAACATTATGATGAATTGCAAAATGAATAATTTCCCTTCCACTGTGTTTATTTTGAGCAGCAAAATGCTGGAGAAAAATGAAAAAATGTTTCACTAGAAAGAAGGCCATGCCCATAGTGGTTACATGGCTTTGACCTGAATGCTGCTAATGTTGAAGCCAGTAAATTCCCAAAACTGTGTAGGTCTAATTTAAAAATATTTTTTCAGTTGATAATTTTAGAGTTTAATGATATTAATGTAAGGTATAAATAACGAGATATGGTTTGCTCTCATGTAAGCCTGGAGTTAGTTAGCCATGTTGGTGTGGACTAGAGCCATGATTTCTTTGGGAAATGTATTTCTTAAAACCCGTATTTCAGCAGAAAAGAACGAGACCATTTATAGAATAGACTAAGGGAAAAATGAACACGTGATTGCTATTTTTTAAATCATCATATGTCTTACCGTACTACATAGGCAAGTAAATGTATTATGTCTTTGAGTTTAGATGGCCAAATTGAAATTGAACAATTTGTTACTAATATTTAGGTTGGAATTTTAATAGGTGCTTAACATTGGACATATCTGTTCCCATTACATTGTAAGGCATAGATGATACTTTATATAAATAAGATTAAAGCATTACCATAGATAAAATATCAGGCATTAACCTTGTATACTTTGATTTTAAAATAGTTAAGCTTCGGTATTAAAATAGCCACAGTGATCAGAGTCCAGTTCAAATAATAGTGCTTAATATGTTAATCATTAATCTTACATACTTCTTTCTTATTTCCCTCTATGCCTGTATGGAGTGGGAATTGCCTTCTGAATCTTGAATTCATTACTGTAATTTGTGTATCGTGCATTGACTGAAGCCAATTTAAGTGGTATTTTAGAATAGAATTTTAGTTCCTTCACTTTGTGTAGATAGTGGGCCATGGAGTTAATGTTTCATTTATAGTATTTATTACAGAACTATGATGATGTGGCTATGATTCATGATCTTTTTCTGGATAATGGCTGATTTAAGACATATGATAGTTTGAAAAGAATGTTGATGTTCTATAGTAACCATGACCACTGGTCCAAATATCCCAACATAAAAATGCCATTGGCATAATTTTTCTTCCCTTAAAGAAAAACCAGAATTACTCTTTTCAAACCAGAATTAGATATGCACAATCACCTAAACCAACCACTTTGTCTTGCAAATGAGGAATCCGAGATCCAGTGAAGCTGATTAGATTGATGGAGATCAGAAAGCTATTAGTGTTAGAGCTATAGCAGGGATGCAGAACCTGCTTCCTCTTATTTTGGGGCCAATACTCTCAAAACTATCCTGCCTTCCTAAAATCGGATAACCACTGCCATTTCATTTATTCACATCCTGAAAACTCTTTTTTCTTTTTCCTTGTGCAGTGTCTCCATGCACCCCCACAAAGACATCCTAGTCTCCTGTGGCGAGGACCGACTCTGGAAGGTGTTGGGCCTTCCAAAAGGCAACGTGCTTCTCACGGGATTTGGCCACACTGATTGGCTTTCAGACTGCTGCTTCCATCCAAGGTCAGTGCACAGGACTCCTAGAAATAGCCTAATCTCTCTAGGAACGTGCTTGTTTACTCTGTTTCCGCACTCTGCTGTCTTTGATGATGTTTTTCTTTCTGCAACAACACATCCTGCACTGAATTTCGAAGTGTATAGACAAATTCCCCCTTGGTTTTCATTATATTGACTTTTGACTGTTTTTGATATTTGGTACGTGTAAAACTTAGTCCACATACTTACGCATTTAACCAGAGGAATAAGCTTCTCAGGACAAGCATTATTAACATTCCTTGTGCTCACAAGCCCTGACAAGGCACAGAGATTTCTAGTCAATAATGCATGCCAGAATTTACTTTTGTTAATCTTTGGAGTTTTCCTTTTAGAGTTAATTTATGTACCAAAAAGAATCAGAGAGCAGTGATCAATTTCTTTAAAAATTCAGTGACACTCAAGGTATTAAAAAGAACAAAGTAGTACTGAAAACACTGGGCCCTGTAATTTTTGAAATTCACTGAACCTAAATTCATTTATACCTAAAAGACCAAGGACACAGAAGGGAGAACATTCTTAAAGACACAGATAGAAAACTGTCCATAGTTCCTTGTGGCCCCTTCCTACCGCCAATCTTGTTTTCTGTTCATCATTCTTCTTGGATCTGCTTCTTTCTAAAACTCTCTGGCCTGACTACTTTTGGTAACCCATAGTTCTTTGTGCTTTTCTAAACCATTCTATTTGGAAATTTTGTTCTTGGGAAGATTTCTTATGATTTATTTTCATGTTTTCACTCAACTCCTTTTTAAAATCAATTTTTCTTTTATCTTTGCTATGAATGTCTATGAAATTAGATAGAACATTTTTACTTAAATTTAGAAATTTGTAAGTTAATGACAAGAGTAAACTAAGTTTGTTTTTAACTTCTGAATATCTTTCCAAAGTATAATTTATCTTTAGTACTAGATGTTTGACCCTAATTTATGAACAGGCAGTGTATTCCATATCCAGTATGTAAATTAAACAGAGCCTTGCCACCCTCTCACCTCTTAGGAACATAAAACCCATGTTGCAGGCAGCGACAATACAATTAGAAGTATTGCCTATCGCTTATGTAGCTACTGGGCATACTAATCAGATTTTGATAATGCCCTGTTACCATGACAGCCAGTGACTCAGAGATTTTCTCTTTAGTGTTTGACCAGCAATGGTCCTTTTAATAGATCTTCCTCTTTCCCATTCAATTACTGAAATTAATATGAGGTGAGATACATCATTATTCACTTATAATATGAATTTACATTTAGCAATTTCTTACGGCAGAATTATAGTAAAATACTGCTATACTGTTTGCTTTTTTTCAGTGCATGAGACAAATATAAGGGGAGAAAATAAACATAACCATAAGTGTTTTTAAATGAGAAATATTGAATAGCAAATGTTCTTTTTGTAGAATTAATAAAAAAAATTACTAAAAACAACAACAAGGTCTATTTTGGTTTATTTGTGGTGAGACACATTCTGAAAGTGTTTACATCTCAGACCACAAACATTTTATAATCCTTGTATGCAAACCAACACTAAATAGCATATAAATATGAAAAAATATATATGTACCTACAGATAATGTTGATGGATTTAAAGTTGTTGAAATTTATGTTTCCTAGAATTTAAATTTGTAATATTTGATTTTTGGTTTGGTTTATGTAATTTGGTCAGTAAGAAAAGACAGTTAATTACTAAAGATAATATATTTCCTAACTGATGGTATACTTTGTCTATAATTTAAAATCAAACCTAAAATAAGTTTGACTTAAATATTATACTCTAATCTGTAGTTGAATCTTCAGTGAATACAATTATAGTCTTCAGAGTCCAGCTCTGGGCTCTGGTTGATCCTGCTTTCTTGGAACCCTAGTGTGGACACAGTATATACTAACTTTTATTTTCCTCCTATACACTTCACACAAGAAACATAAACTTTTTCTTATTTTTTTTCTTTCCTTTGCTTTTCGCATTTCCTTTATTTTTAATTTCAGTTGCTTCTAGTTGAATGTTTTCTCTAACTTCCAGCTGGATGCATTCCTGACTACAATAGTAGCTGACACTGTCAGGCACTGTCTCTTCTGCAGTGATGACATATTCACATTTTGTTTGGAGGTCAATTAATCGTTGACATGATTGTGGTTCACCTTGACTGACATCAATCATTCTTCTTTGTCCTATTTCTCATATCATAGCCGACATCTCAAGTGCCTAATAATAAATACAACAGGCATAGTAATACTCATATCAGGCAAAAGAAGAGTGACAGGTTAAAAAAATGAATTGAGGGGATAACTGACACTTGAGAATCCAGCTAATATGATGTCGAAATATATAAAACAAAAAATCTCATAAAACAAGATGATAGTAAAAATATATAATAATCAGAAAGACTTCAAGGTACCTCTTTCAACTTTTAATCTGTCAAGTAAACAAAATTATAGTGGAATTAGAAGAATTAATATGATAGTAAATATAATTAATAGTATATATTTACCTCTGTACAAGGAGAGAATATAAATTTTTAGTTCATTTATGGTTTAATTTTCAAAAAGGCATAAATTCTTTACCCAAAATCTAGCATAAATTCCTCATGGTATAAATTATACAACCCATAATTTATGACCAAGATTCAATGATAAAAGGTGAAATGAAGTTAATAACCATTAATGAGAGTAATCACAAATTATTAAGACACATGTAAATGAATACTGAGTCGAAGAGGAACTATAAACTTTCATTACATAGTTGGTAAACATTACAACTACAACACTTACCAAATTTATGAGATGTATCCAAAGCTGTATTCAGAGTAAAATTCATAGCTTTAAACTCTTTATCATTAAATAAGAAAAACAGACAATAAGCGGATTATGAATTCAAATTGAAAAAAAACAATGAAATACAAAAAGCAAAAGAAAAAATCAATGAAAATTAGAAATTAATAGAATAGATATATATTTATGTATATGTTATATATCGATGAAAACTTCTGAACTTTTATATATATAATATATAAACAGTTATATATAAATTAAATATCCATATACATATAAATAATAGACATATATACATGCACATATATATGTAATTTCAGCAGTTTTCTGTCCTCAAGGGGAAAAATAGTGAAGAAGCTACAATACATTAGATATCCCGGAAAACTGCTGAAAATATGTTAATAAGTGAGGAAACATTAATATAAATAGCAACTTGGAAGGAGTTAGTACTGGATATACAGAAACTAGAATATATATGCACTTCAATTTTTTAGGAAATAATAAATCTCTATGAAAGTAAACATTATCAATACTAAATCAAGATGGAAGAAAAACCTGGACTAGATTAAAAACAGTTGAAGAAACTGAGTTTTAAAGTTTTACCTTGCATGCCCATCTTTAGCAGTTTTATGAGTGAGATTTTAGAAACTTACCAAAACAAACAAACAAAAAAAAATAAAGAAAAAAGAGTGTTAGAATAAAACAGGTAATTTTTAGGTTCATTACCTAGCCCAAGGACAGAAAAAAATAAAAGAGAAATTCATTACTGGTTTTAAAAATAGAGCATAAGCATAATTTTAAACCTAACAGATATAGTACTCACATGGTAACCCGAGACCCATTTCACTATTATGAATGCAAAACTTTAAAAAATGATACAGAAAATGAAAGTCAGCTGTATGTTTAAAAAGAGCAATATACAATGACCAAGTAAGATTTGTACTTGGAAAACATGAAATACATAAATGAACTGACTATGAGGACATCATATAATAAATTATACTAATAGATATTGAAACTTACTTTAAAAAGTGGCCTAAATCTAGCAACTATACCTGTCAATACACATATGTTTGCATACATTGTTAGGTTCCATGTGTTGGAATTGATTAGGGGAATAGATTTTGGAACAGCTAAAAACTATTAATAAGATCTACCAGGTGAATGTCAAACCTAGATATCATGAAGCTTAATGAGTGAAAAGCAGAATGGTGCTTACAGGAAATAGCTCAAGAGGGGAACATAAAACCAAACAGGTAAAAATGTAGATAATCCCCAAAGTCAAAACAGGAGCAAGAGTCCAAGCTAATATCTGTCTATGGAAGCTTAATTACTTCTTCAGTTGGTGTTTACTCTTTTTAAATTTTGATTACATATTTTCTTTTTTTTCCCCTTAATAATAATGACTACTTTTTGTTGCAACACTAACACCATCTTACATATTTGTAACTCAAAAAATGAATGTGGAAATCGTGTAAGTTTTATACAAATATAATGCAGACTATACAAACAGAAGACATTTAAAAATGTGCAAGTCTTCAAAACACTGCATTGCCTCAAAATAATACTATACGCATAACCGATTATTTCTATCTATTGTTTACAGTGGAATTGGTTCTGTTTGTATCTAAGATTTTAATTTCCTCAGTAGGACTTGTCTATCCAGATCTTTTTAAAGAAGGACATGGATAACTTTCATTACTGTGTAACTCGTCATTATTACATATTTACCACTAGATGGAGGTTATATATCGGGAAGATAAAGCACCCTTTGCATTTACTTGGTAGACTGATGGAAGTGTTGGTAGCTGTTGAAAGTGATTCATCAATCATTGAAAATGATAAATGAATGGAACAATGCAGGGACTGTGCATTAGCGCAATCTTTGCACTACTGAAAGAAGAAAACGTACATTGCCAAAAAGTGGGAACATAAACATACCCCAGTGCAAGGTAGAGGTCATACGGGTGGCCCGTTTTAGAATGCTAGCTTCACCGTTGCTAGTCTTTTCAGGTTTCTCTTCTGTGAAATAGAAAGGATAATGATGCCTACTTTGTAGTTTGATTGTGAAGACTAATGTTATAATATCTGAAAAACACAAATATGATTGCTAGGCACACATATGCTCAACAAGTGTTAGCTATCATCATATTTTTCATTGATACAAATTTTAGAACTTAAAAAGATAGCTCAAACATTGTTATA